GCGTTTATTAGGCTGCTGTCTCTTTAACTCTTTAACGCACGCAGATCTAAAAATACTGTACACCTGCGTTTTCTTTCTCATCTGTTTACGCTCACTTAAGACAAAAAAGGCTGTGTTTATGATGTTATACTGACGTAGTTTTTTGCGTACTGGTCGATAAATATGAAAGAAGTCAGTTTCGGCCAGGAACAACCTTTTCTACAATGGAAATACACGGAACGGTTCGAGAACGGACACAAACCGGGAACCCGTACCGCGTTCTCTGTGCTTGCGCTTCGTGTGCGCTGCACGCAAACAGGGCGCAAGTTCTTTCTGTTCCTACACTTATATAGTTTTTAATCACATTAAAATGCGAACGCAGGAATCGTTAAGCAGAATCGAAATGCACGCGTCTTATCGAATATCCGGTTCTTGGAAATTTGGAACCGGTTCTCGATACCCAACCCTATCTATCATTTTAAAAAACGTTGTTTAATTTAATAAATGTAATTTTTGTCCATATTTTAATTAAATCAGTTTTTCATGTTAAATTAACTTGTTTTTTTTCAGGGTGAAATGGTGGACAGGATTGAGGAGAACATTAAGAGTTCCCATAACTATGTGGAAAAGGCTGTTGCTGACACAGCTGCTGCGGTAGTAACTTCAAAAAAAGTGCGCAAAGTGAGTAAATTATTAATATGATTATTTATTTATTGATGTGATGACATTATATCATTCACCAGTGCGACTGATCACATTTCTTCTTCACAGAAAAAATTATGGATTGCATTATGTCTTGCTATTTTGCTTGTAATAATAGCCATTATTGTGGCTGTCAGTTTCATTTGAGGTGAGTTCCATCAATTATATTGAATTTGAATGCCAACTGTATGCAAGTTATTTAAAGGGATAGTTCACCCAAAAATGAAAATTTGCTTTTAATGCACTCACCTGAGTAAATTAACAGCAAATTTTCATTTTTGCGTGAACTATCCCTTTAAAGGATTAGTTCACTTCCAGTATAAAAATGTCCTGATCATTTACTCACCTCCATGTCATTCAAGATGTTCATGTGTTTCTGTCTTCAGTTGCAAAGAAATGAAGGTTTTTGAGGAAAACATTCCAGGATTTTTCTCCATATAATGGACTTAAATGGTGGCCAATGAGCTAAAGGTCCAAATTTGAGTTTCAATGCAGCTTCAAAGGGCTCTACACGATCCCAGCCGAGGAACAAGGGTCCTATCTAGCGAAATGATATACTTTTTAACCACAAATGCTTATCTTGCACTAGCTCCGCGATGTGCATCCGCAAATTCACGCATTACACTATCACGTTGGAAAGGTCACGTGCGGTTAGCTCTTTGTCTTTGTACTCCAGTTTAAAAAGGTAGAGTAGGGCAAAAAACTCAATTTTCTCCTACATTTTCAAAATCGTCCGACATCGTTGTTTCACCTTTTTTTGTAAAGGGCGTTTGACTTTCTTTGCACGTTCGCTTTGTAAACACTGGGTCAGTACTTCCACCTACGTCACTACGGTAATGTGTGAAGTGGAGCTAGTGCAAGACGAGCATTTGTGGTTAAAAAGTATATACAATTTAATTTTTTTTAAGAAAATTATCGTTTCACTAGACAAGACTCTTATTCCTCGGCTGGGATCGTGTAGAGCCATTTGAAACTGCAATTTGGACCTTCAGTCGGTTGGTCCCCATTGAAGTCCATTATATGGAGAAACATCCTGGAATGTTTTCCTCAAAAACCTTCATTTCTTTGCGACTGAAGAAAGAAAGACATGAACATCTTGGATGACATGGGGGTGAGTAAATTATCAGGACATTTTTATTCTGGAAGTAAACTAATCCTTTAAGTGTCTCTTATTGCCAAATGTGTTACAGTTCTGTTATTATTATTTGATATTTAAATCATGTATCCTTTTTCTTTACAGTTTTCCTTTTATTAGACTTTTTTTTTTGCCCATCAAGCACTGGGTTTTGTTTTCCTAAACTGTCTGCCTTGAAGTCCCTTTGGCAAGCTACATCTTTGGTAGCTACATGTGCTTAAATTTTAAATCTGTTGTTTTAGTTGCTTTGTCCTACAAAGGACATGATTTAGATTTCCTGAAAATGTATCTGCTGCACCACTTGGACATTTAAAAAGTTACATGGTAAAAACGGTTTGAATTAATTGATTACTTTATTGACTGTATATTCTAGATGGTGTACTTCATTTGCAGAAACCAACACTAAAACATGGTCATATAGGGTAGATGAAGAAAAATACGATTCCTAATATATAACGCTTCCATTTGGAGACAAGCTCAAGAACTCTTGAGTGATGGGCCGTTTGTCTTTGACGTAATATGTTTAGAAGATGTCTTTTGTGTTATCTGTTGTGATTTATCTTTTTGTAATGCCATTTCAAACTTGAAATTTGAGGAAATAGCATTCGAGGTCATTTGTGTATATATAAAAACTAATTTTGTACTCCGCTTTGCATTATAGTAACTACCTTTCAAAATACAACTTCTCTTGTTCTCACAATGACATGTTGCATACTTATGTATATTTGAACTCATCTGTGCTCTGTCCCAGTTAAGACATGCATTTTTAAGAAATGATTATGTACAGTTACTTGTTTAGTCCCTCAACCGTGGTGCCTTAAGCAGTAACTTGGTTGCCCACTGTGTGGCACTATAAATGTCAAGATCACCAAGAGTGCAGTTTATCTGGTTTCAGTTTGCAGCCTGTACTGCCATACATTTCTTTCTGGTGTAAAATTGTAATTTTTAAATAAAGTACATTATATATTTGACCTTGTGGTGTGTTTTTTTTCCGTCTTATATTGTTTTTAAATAACTGATATTTGAATTCCCTTTTTTTTATGTAGATATGTATCGGTATTTCTAATAAAAAATACCTACTTTGAAGCCTGTATTGGGATCGTCGGGCCGGGT